TCCTTTCACTGACAGCAATTGAAAACAAAAACGAAGCAGGTACGATCCAGCCGATGTCCCCTGTCCCCCCCTTTATGACAGAGGGTCAGTGAAAGGACAAATCCCCCCCCCCCAACCCCCTTTAATTTAGGTGTGGGGTGAGGGAGTCGCCGCAGTCAAATGGGTCCTCAGGAGCCACTTTGCGATTGTGGGAAATCAGACAGCAGGGGATAGGGGCTCCTGGTTCCTATGTGAGGACCAATGGGGTGTGTATATATAATGGGGCTTACAGATCTTTCAAAAAGCAGACGTGTCATTCAGCGAACATATTATATAGCCGATGCGGTGTTATCGTAACCGGGCAGCATAAGAAACCAGCAAGGACGTAAGTCATCATCTTGACCTAGTGCTAGTTGACCTTGGGTGCCCTTGAGCCCTCCCCAGGGGGAGCAGTCTGTGATCCGTATCAGAAGATGACGTCAAGACAGAGTGTTACATTTTACGGTGGGTTTGGCTATAGAACCTGATTGCTCTGTCTACAGACAACCTCCAGGCACAGGGAACAGCGAGAGGCAGGGATGATTCCTCTTATATGGTAGCGCCTTTATGGGGGGTGATTGAAGGGGTGTTCGGTCATGAGAATGGGTAGTAAGATTTATTTCTCATAACCGTGAGAATCTTCACCCACCGGAGTCAGCTTTCCAGACCTGTCGCTATAAGCATTGAGGGTTGAACTGCATTCCATTCTCATCCAGGGCCTCAGTTTACCACCTTTAGTCTCCTGGGCTTCAGGTATGTTGTGGATGGCCCCTTTGGCCTCGTTTCCCTGGTTCAAGCCTTCATTCCAGGAGGATTTGTGCCTTTAGGTGGTCTCCCATGATGCTATGTTTGGTCCAGGGAGGCTGCAGCGGTCCCCCCACATCTCCTGCTTCTCCGGCACATGAACCCCGTGTAAGGCTCTTCCAAGGCCCCGCTACAAGTTGCTTCTGAGTTCCCACTTCATTCCGGCCAATAGGAAGATGGAGAAGTGGTGCGCGAGGGACCCAGGGCCTTCCCTCCACATAGGCTCCCCCACCCCAAATAAACGCAGCAGCCAAGAGTCGGAGAGAGCTCCATTTAATTTGGAAAATTACAAAACCACAACAAATCAGGAAGGAGAGGCCAGCTGCCTCCGTCGTCGCCCCACGTTCCTTTCATTCAGTTCAATTGTGAACCCCGAGGAAGAACGGAAATTAAATAACTGTGTGGAAGTATAGGGTCAAGAGAGTCCCAACCTCGGGGGGGGGAAACTGAGGCACAGTAATACTGAGCCCAAGTGGGAGTGGCCACGCCCCGAGCCACTCCCACCGAGGCAGACACAGGCTAGTGGGGGGAGGAGATCCACGTGGCAAGAGGGCGTGGCTTGTAAACCTGGGTTTTGGCAGCGTGGGGCTGGGAGCTGCCCGGTTGGTAAACCAGGCGGTGGTCTGGAGAGAAGGCAGGGGCTGTAAACACAAGGGTGGTGGCCTAGGGGTCAGGGTGCAGGCCAGGCCTTCCAGGGAGACAGTGCTTAAATCCTGAGAGTACCCTGGGGGTGGTGGGGAGCTGAAGAAGGCGAAGGCCCTGGAGGCCGTGTTGTCCCCGGCCAGTGGAGATGGGGTGCTGAACACGCACACCCTCAGTGGGCTTTGTGCGCCTCCCCGGAGCCTGGGACTCACTCTTGGAGCACCTCGAGGCACCAGCACGATCGACACATCGGGCACCTTGGGATCGGGCTAGAGGTGGGCACCTGGCTCTGCCCTCAGAAGCAGCATGAGAAAAGCAAGCTGGGGGCTGTGCCTTCCGGGACACGCTCCTTTTCAGGGACTGCTCAGGATGGGCTAGGCTCCGGGATCTTCCGTGGTGGGCAGGAGGGGGAGGAGTCACCGCCGGCAGGACTCATCTGGGCAAGAGGAGGCAAGAAAGATAGCGATTGAGTGAGGGCCTTTCCCTCCCGTCCTCCCTGACTCAGACTGAAAGGGGCGGTGAGACCCAACTCACTGGCATCGAGTTGATGCCAACTCATGACGCACAGCGACCCCACAGGGCAGCACTGCCCCTGTCAGTTTCCCACTTTCAACTCTACATGGGAATAGAAAGCCGTCTTTCGGCTGCTAGTTTCGAACAGCTGACCTTGCATTGAGCAGCCCAATGTGTCCTAATCATCCCCGCCCCCCCCCAAGAATCTTGGAATCTGGAGGCCTGATGTGTCCTTTGCTTCCCAATGCCTCAGTTTCCCCTATAAAAGAAGTGGGTTGGACTAGAAATCCTAACGAGCCCCTTCCAGGAGCAACGTAAAACCCTTCCCATTTCCCCTGAACTCTGGGTTTCTGATGCTGCTAATCTTTACAAGAGCAAAAAGCCTCATCTTTCTCCTGAGGAGTGGCTCGTGGGTTCGAACTACTATTCCTATTCCACCTATTCCACCAGGGCTCCCCGAAAGGGCAGTTGGCATGTGGGAGGATATCTTGCAGCATCAACCCCGAGGGCTTTTGCCTACTAGTAACAGTAACCGTACCCGTTCCGGGCATTCTTAGGTTGCTATCAGGGAGCGTCATTTTCAGCTCATACTGACCCCACAGGACACCTGAGAACTGCCTCAGAGGGCTTTCATGGCTGTATCTTCTGGGGAGCAGACTCCCCACCAAATCTTCCTCCCAAGGAACCACCGGGTGGGTTTGACAGCCATCCTCTGAGCAGCTGGGCACTGCAATGTGCCACCAGGGCTCCTCAGGTACTTTAATCACTTCGATTTCACACCACCACCAATCAACTCCAACGGCACTGCCATCGAGGCGATTGGGTCTTGTAATCACCTCCCCATGCCCTCATGGAGCAGAGTGGAACTGAGCCCTCGGGGGACAGACAGCCCCACCATTCTCCATGGAGCAGCCGGTGGTCCCCAAGTGCTCGGCCAGCAGGCGAACAGTCCTGGTCCCAACTCGCTCTGCCACCAGGACCTCCCGAATGAAGAGAGGGGCCGGAACTTCGTATCCAGCCTCAGTTCCGGGTGTGGCATAAAAATGACTGAGCCCACGACATTTCCTAGCGGTAGTGGTTATTAACTCCATTCCAGAGATGCAAGGGACAGGCTAGGGCGGTCAGCTGATTTCTCTGAGGATGCACCACAGATGAAGAGAGAAGCTGGAATTCAAGCTGGGGCTTGGCTGACCTGGTGTTTTGAACTGCACAAGGCTGCCCCACTCCGCACCATGCCCCCCCCCCCAAGAATCTTGGAATCTGGAGGCCTGATGTGTCCTTTGCTTCCCAATGCCTCA